CGACCCCGCCCCGAGGTGCGGCGCACCCACCCCGTCAGGGGCAGCCCCTTCCCGCCGCGGGAGGTGCCGCCCGCCTCTTCCCTCCTCCGGCCGGGCGCGACCGGGACTTCCGGCCCGATGGTGCCAGGACCACCAGCGGGGCGGGGCCAGGACCTCAGGCCGGGAGGAGCCAAGACTTCCGGCCGGGCGGCCTGGACCACCAGATGGGCGGGGCCTGGGCCACCAGCGGGGCGGGGCCAGGACCTCAGGCCGGGAGGAGCCAAGACTTCCGGCCGGGCGGGGCCTGGACCACCAGATGGGCGGGGCCTGGACCACCAGCGGGGCGGGGCCAGGACCTCAGGCCGGGAGGAGCCAAGACTTCCGGCCGGGCGGCCTGGACCACCTGCGGAGCGGGGCCTGGACCACCAGCGGGGCGGGGCCAGAACCTCAGGACGGGAGGGGCCAAGACTTCCGGCCGGGGGGCCTGGACCACCAGATGGGCGGGGCCAGGACCTCAGGCCGGGAGGAGCGAAGACTTCCGGCCGGGGGGCCTGGACCACCAGCGGGGCGGGGCCAGGACCTCAGGCCGGGAGGGGCCAAGACTTCCGGCCGGGGGGCCTGGACCACCAGCGGGGCGGGGCCAGGACCTCAGGCCGGGAGGGGCCAAGACTTCCGGCCGGGTGGCCCGGAAGACTCCGTGGCGCAGGGGTAGGGAGGGGGCAGTAGGCCTGGCGCCCCTTCACCCGGGCGGGGGGCGTCCGGAAGGCGAGCCCTGGACTGGGTACCGGCATCCAGGTCTCGCGGTGCGACCCAGGGCCGGCCCTCCGGGGCACAGGAGGGGTCAATGAGCTGGAGACCCATCCGGCCTCTGGCCACTGCCTGGGCAGGGCATCTCGGGCCCTCCGGGTCTCTTAGGGAGGCGGCAGGATTGGCTGGCCTTTCTTTGCATCCCTGGGTACACACGTGCGGCTGGGTAGGATTTACAGGACTTACGGTGTCCAGAGAAGTGGGACAAAGGCCAGGAAGTTTTCTTGGACTTTGAAGCAAATGCCAGAGGCCGCAGCAAATAAAGTCACCGCTAAGTCCTTTCAGGGGTCCAGCCCAAACATGTGTTATTGCTAACCCGCACAGCTGATTCTACTGGTATTCTCCGCATTGTACAGGTGAGCAAACAGGCTGAGTCGTTCGGTAATTCGCCCGGGTCCCACCGCGGGGAAGTGGCAGGGCCTGGGCTGTGCCGCACCTGGACTTCCATGAGCTCAGGACGTTACGCTTTAAAATAGGTGGTTTGTTTCTTTAACCACTTGGGAGGCTCCACTCCCAGGGTTTCTGATTTAGTAGGTCTGGGGTGGCCCAGAATGTGGGGGGCTAACAAGGTCCCAGGTGCTGCTGGCCCTGGACACCACTTTGAGAATCACTGCTGGAGGTTAGGGGTTCTGATGGGAGCCCGGGTCCCTCCCTCTTTGACAGAATCCCTGGTGTTTTTACATTTTCCTTTTATACCTGAGGTTTGGTTTCTCAACATCTTGCCACCTTCAGGTGAGAACAGCAACCATGGGCTAAGCAGACAAGCTGCCCTGTTCAAATCCCAAGAGTCATGAGGCATAATCTGTTGCTGTGAGAAGGGCGGGAAGCAATTCAGAAGCCAGGGGATTGCTGAGCAGCCTTCACGTGTATTGGACACGTGTGATGGCCTCCACGGTGGAAAGGTTGCAGGGTATGTGAGCAGAAATTCAGAGAAGGTGACATTTTAGAGCCCAGAGCGTGCGTGAGATTCTCTCTGGTGTTCGAGCTGAGGATCCCACAGTGGTGCCGGACACTTGTGAACACTCATTAAACGTTAGCTTTTTCATTTCTGACTCAGTCCATAAAGTTTATTTTAAAATTTGGAAGGAAAACAGGAGGGATCAATGCTACGGAAAACCCAAGGAGTGAACTTGATAGGAGGTAAAGGGTCTGAGTGAATACAATAAAATGTTAACCTCTTTCCTTTTCTCTGTCCTTCCTCCTTGACTAGCTGTTATTCTTTGTGACGAAATGTCCTTGATCTGCAAGAAGTTCTAAGACTTAGAGTCTGAGGGGATCTTTATGGTGGAGATGGGAGTGTCCTGGGCCCGAGGCCAAGGCGGGACATCTTCTAAAGTAAAGATGCTCCCTGCAGACCTGTCCTTTGTCCTTCACTACCCTATCTCTCGTGACTTTTACCATGACTTTTACCAGCGTCAGGGTCCCTCCTGGAATGTCCTACCTTATCTGACTCTTCTCGATCTTAGGGGCAATCCAAACCTCATTCCTCCCTGAAGTCTCATCTCTGTTCCCAGCGCACTGGTCATCTTGGCCTCTCCCCAAGAGCTGCTGGAATAATCTGTGAGCAGTTCCTGGGTCCCCTGCAACCGCCCACTAAATCTCCATCCCTAGCATTGGACAGTCTGTCTGCTCATTTTCCTGTAATCTCCAGCATTTTACACACAGATCTTCATATTTGTGGATGAGTGAACATACCGTCTGAGGCTATCTCTTTTGAAGGGGGCAGGTGTTATGTCCTCTAAACGCTAGGGCTCAGGAGGGCGCACCACATCCTATTGGGCTCTATCCCCAGGGTCTAAGACAAGGTCTTGGTAAACACTGAATCAACATTTCTTAAAAGAATACATTTTCTGGACTTGTTCACACGTTGAATCAAGTCACTGCTCCTGGAGGGTCAAGTGACCAAGCCCTTTAGTACAGAGCAAAAAAGGTGAGCCCACCTTCTCCCTGAGTGGCCCCTGTGGGCCTGTTCTGGGCCCTCCCCCAAAAGCCATTCTGGATGTGCCAAGTTCCCAGTGGCCTAGAATGGGACTAAGCCAATGGGGACGGTCCTGTTGTTGAGGGAGGAGGCTCAGCCTCCCCTGCAAACCATCCCATCCACCCTTCCAGGTGCCTTTAAAATCCTCGGAGGTGTGACCCCCTCCTTCCCTCACCCCATACTCACCCATCAGCATAGGCTGCTCTAGCCAGAGTGCCCCGGCCTCTAGCATTGTACCCCCATCACTTTGGCCCAAGCCCCTCACCTCCCCTGGATCACTGGGGGATGTCTGTCAGGAAATGACCAAGGCAGGTCATTTACCACTGGGTTCAATTTTGCTGTAGATCTGAGTTATCTCTAGTGGTGAGTGGTACATGCACAAATCTTGCTATTGGGGGGGGTCATTGCAAGCAGACTGGACTGTGGGCCATGGATCATCACTAACTAGCAAGGAGGCCCTCTGCAGTCACAGAACCTGCTCTGTGAGCACACGGAGGGCTGAAGACCTGTCCTTTTAGGTGTTGTCACAAGCTTCCTTGTTCAAAGATTTAGTCCAAAGCAGAAGCAACAATATTTGAGGAACGAGATCCAGCCAGCCTGCAATTCGGGATCAGATGATGGCGTCCTCAGCAGCTTGAACCTGAGGCCAGACGGACATCGAAGACCCAGGGCCCACCGAGCCTCGTGCGCTGTCCGTGCGAGAGCAGAGGCCCTTGGGCGGCACCTCACGTGCGGGAACTCCGCCACTGGAGCATCTGTGTGCTCACGAGCAGATCCCCTGCTGCCCAGATGCTCTCCCGCCGTGGAGGCATTGGAGGAAGAGCCCCTGGAGTGTGGGCTTCTGCGGAAAGTCCTCACTGCCTCAGGCAGCCCTTCTCCAAGCACGGTCCCCGGGACCCTTTCAGAGGGTCTGTGAGGTCCACAGTATTATCTCCATAATAGAAAATATAATTCTCACGAGTGCAGAGTGGAGTCTCCAGGACTGACACTCTTCTCACTAAATGTTTATTGTCTTTGAAAATATACTTGAACTCAGCTAACATATAGTGGTGGTGTTATAGTTATTTAAAACACATTTTAACACAGCCATAGGGGTCATTTGCAATTTTAACTTAGGATAAACATGAATAATCTGTATTAACAAAGTTCAGGGCCTCAAATTTTAAGAGTGAGAAATAGTCTTGAGACTAAAATGTCTGAACACCATCACTCTGTGGTTCAGCAAGCTTTCTCTGTTTGGGCCAGATGGGAGAGTTTCAGCTCTGCAGGACACCCCATCGCGGTCTGTGCTCCACCTGCCTCTGCTCTGAAAGCTGCCATACCAGGCACGTGGGCTTGGCTGTGTTCCAGCTAGACGTTACGTATCAGCACTGCAACTTGAATTTTATATAATTGACGCCCCTCAAAGCATTATCTTTTGATTTTTATGAGCCATTTAAAAGTGTAAGTGTGAAAACAATTCTTAGCTGTCCAAAAGGAGGCACTGGGCCAAAGCTTGTCCATGGGCTGTAGTTTTCTGTAGTGATGGGTTCAAACTCTTAACACATCACATTATTTCAACTGAAATGTTTAAAGACAATATAACAGCTTTGTCCCTGGTTCTGACACAGGGCCCCTGAACCCTTTGTATCCTCCTGACAGGAGTGTCCTTTATTCTAATGAGGTGACCCCCAGGTGGGCTCCTGGAGGGGATCTGGTCATGAGAAAGCCAGCAGCCATGATCAGAAGTTTGGCATTTTCTGCCCAGAGAGGACTTTAGACCAGGGAGGGAGCAGTGCAGGTGGGAAGTATCTAATTCTAGATCACTTGTAAAAATAGAACTGACCCTCAAGTCTTCTGACTTGAGCAACAGGGAGACTGGAGTTGGATTTCACTGAGCGGGAGACTGAGTCCGGGAGCAGGTTCCCTGCTAGTTTTTGTTCACATATAGAAAGAAGTCATAGCAGAGCACAGAAGATACTGATGAGGGAGCAGAAGGCTGACTG